TACTATTACATAATACACATGCATAAAGAGAAAAATTAAAAAATAGTGTACCACATATTAATATAATAATGTATTTCAAGATATTATATTCTAATACTATTATATAAAACAAACACATAAAGAAAAAAATCAAAATGATTACATAATACACATGCATAAGGAAAATTAAAAAAATTCAAGATACTATACTATTCTACTATTATAAAAGAAAAATCAAATAGTGTACACATTAAATGTAGCTATACAACCAAAAAAATATTCCAATAACATACGATATCAGTATAGTATATAGATGTACCAACAAGGTATACAATTGTACGCAAAAAGTTAAAAGTAATTATTTTAATTCAATTATTAAACTGAAATAATATCAGTTGTCAATAAAAATTTCAAAAAATTCTAAACGGACCTAATTGTAAGAGTATACCGTTACATTATATAGTATACTTTAATAGTATATCATGTGAATGAACTGTATACCAAAATGATATATAGTATATCAATTTGGTATGCAATACAAATTCTTCTTAGCCAGTATAACGCAATAAATTATACACTATTGAATTAACCAAAATGGTATTGTCACGACCCGGATTTCCCACCCTCGGGAGTCGTGATGGTGCCTAATCGTGAAAGCTACGCAAGCCGAGTATTATAGGTTCACTAACTCTTTTATTTAGCCCTTTTTAACAGTTTAAAATAACACACGATCAACAGTGAAATATTAACAATAATTGAAGACATGCGGAAGACGTAATCTAATAACTTAGCCAAAAACAAGTACGACAATACCAAGTATATCTCTACCCGGAACTGGTGTCACAATATCACGGACCATCTACGAATACTACAAACAGTTGTCTGAAAAGAAAGATATAATCTGTCTCTGAAGTAAATGAAAAAAGAATATAAAGATGGAAGAGAACGCCGGGGCCTGCGGACGCCTGCAGGACTACTTCGGGATCTCCGACTAGACTGAAGGCAGCCACCCAAAGCTATGGTCCAAAAGTTGCCGCTCCAGGATCTGCACATAGTGTAGAGTGTAGTATCAACACAACCGACCCAATGTGCTGGTAAGTGCCTGACCTAACCCCGGCGAAGTAGTGACGAGGTGAGGACCAGACTACCAAATAAACCTGTGCAGTTATATCATATACATCGGAAAATAAAATAGAAATAAACAATTAAAGATGGGCGGGGGACATGCTGCGGGGGAATATCATTTATCAACAGTAATTCAAGAGAAAAGCATAAAAAACAATTTAGAATTCACAGCAAAAGAATAAGGAAATCGTAACCGATCAATAAACACTTTTATTATTTATTGTTGCGGCGAGCATCCTGATCCAAATCATAAGAATATTGTTGCGGTGTGCAACCCGATCCATATCATTTATCACTGTTGCAGTGTGCAACCGATCCAATTATATTATTGTTGCGGTATGCAACCCGATCCCAATATAATATTGTTGCGGCGTGCAATCCGATCCAAATATAATATTGTTGGAACGTGCAACCCAATCCAAATATAACATTGTTGCGGCGTGCAACCCGATCCATTTCATGCAATTCAACACCAATCACAAAAGAGTCCCGGCTAGGGAATGATAAGGAAACAACACCACCCCGACAAGGAAATCGATAGTATAAGTAAATACGTCCTGGAAAAGGAATCAGCTATAACCAAACTTGTTCTAACATTTAACTTCACAAAAGAAACCTCAACTAGCACCAATGCTCAACCGTAAGCAAATTTCCACGAGAATAATCATATTTCTTGCTCAACACAGTGAATCATCAACTTAGGCATTCGTAGTATTTATTAAGAACACAACAATTTCAATTTACGACTCACAATCATGCTTGACACCAACGTATAGATACTCGTCACCATGCCTATACGTCGTACTCAACAAGTAACACATAGCAAATAGGACAATAACAACAACCCAGTATAATCCCACTTAGTGGGGTCTGGGGAGGGTAGTGTGTACGCAGACCTTACCCCTACCCTGGATAGAGAGGTTGTTTCCGAATAAACCCTCGGCAACCTTCCCTCCAAGAACTTCCCACCTTGCTCTTGGGGAGACTCGAACTCACAACCTCTTGGTTGGAAGTGAAAGTTGCTTACCATCGGAGAAACCCCTCTTGTCTTTACATTTATAACAAAAAGAAAAAAAAGAAATGAAACAGGTGCAAGTGCAACTATCTTCTCTTTCTGCTTAATAAAATGTAGTAGTAGTAGTAACTTTTTACATAGTCAACATGGATTATTTTATTAAGTCAACAATGGATTAAATTCAGCGGTTCAACAACAACAACGGCCCAGTGTAATCCCACTAGTGGGGTCTGGGGAGGGTAGTATGTACGCAGACCTTACCTCTACCCTGAGGGGTAGAGAGGCTGTTTCGAGGAGACCCTCAGCTCAAGAAGACGACAAGAGATGATATATTAGTATTATCAATAGAATCATAATAAAATAACAGCATATATAAAAAAAGACGAAATAGATGGAAAGTACACAATAACCAGTAGGTAAAGATCTGCATCAGTAGAAACCACTAACATTCTAAAATTAAAACCTAACTGGAAAGTCTAACTATGATGCTTCGAAGAAATATTCACAACTACCTCCTAACCTACAACTTTAATGCTCGACCTCTACAATTTCATGTCAAGGGCCATGTCCTCAGTAATCCTAAGTCGTGTCATGTCCTGCCTGATCACCTCTTCTCAATATTTTGCTCACCATTGCTTTTCTAAGTCGTGTCTGAAAGTAGCACCTCTTCTCAATTCTTGGGTCGTCCTATACCTCTCCTCGTGTCCACCACAGCTAGTTGCTCACATCTCCTCACCGGAGCATGTGTGCTCCTTCTCTAAATGTGCCCGAACCATCTAAGTCTTGCTTTCCTCATCTTGTCCTCCATGAGGACTACGCCCACCTTCTCCAGAATAGCTTCATTCCTAATCTTATCCATCTTAGTATGCCCGCACATCCGCCTCAACATCCTCATCTCTGCTACTTTCATCTTTTGGATATGTGAGTTCTTAACCGGCCAACACTCGGTCTCGTACAACATGGCATGTCTAACCATTGCTTTATAAAACTTACCTTTTAGGGGTCGTTTGGTAGAGTGTATAAGAATATTGCTGAATATTATATTTTAGTAATGTTGGTATTAGTTATGCTGAGATATTTCTTATCTATTGTTTGGTTTAATGTATTAATGCATTGCACAATTTCTATAAGAATTATTTATTTACAAAAATACCCTCATAATCAGTCAATTACTTTATGTTTAAAAAAATATATGTTGAGGAATGTTTTTATATAAAAAAGGTTTTAAAAAATTATTTAATTTGTCTACATATATTGCAGTGTAGAACTTAATATTTATTTATAAAAACAATATGCTAAGTATTTATTTATTTACTAGGGACATAATTTTATTTATCACTTTCTTGGATTATTTCAAACTTGCTTTAATATAATAACATATTTTAATCAAGCATAAATTTTGAAGGACAAATTTGTCTTTAACTAAGATAATGCATGCATTAAAATCCATTTCATTATTAATGTCATGGTTTCTTATGCATTAGTTATGCATATGATAATACCAAATAGAGTGTATAACTAATACTTGCTTAATTAATGCATAGGTTCAAAAAGTGTACCAAACAAAGTATTACTAATACACAAAGCTAATGCATGCATTATTTTACCTAATGCATCCTACCAAACGACCCCTTAGTATTGGTGGTACTTTTTTGTCACATAGGACTCCCGGCGCTAACCTCCACTTCATCCACCCCACCCCTATATGGTGTATGACATCCTCGTCGATCTCCTTAATCCCTTGAATAATCGACCCAAGGTACTTGAAACTACTCCTCTTGGGAATGACTTGGGAGTCGAGCCTCACGTCCATCCCCGCTGCCGTCTGCTCGACGCTGAACTTGCACTCTAGGTATTCCGTCATAGTTCTGCTCAACTTGAAACCCTTAGACTTAAGGGCCTGTCTCCAAACCTCTAGCCTCTCGTTGACACCGCCTCGCGTCTCATCAATCAGAACTATGTCATTAGCAAATAGCATACACCATGGCACCTCCCCTTGAATATGATGAGTCAGTGCATCCATCACCAGGGCAAATAGGAACGGGCTGAGCGCAGACCCTTGGTGCAACCCCATAGCCACCAGAAAATGCTCAGAATCACCTCCTACTATCATAACCCTAGTCGTAGCTCCATCATACATGTCTTTGATCACCTTAATGTAGGCAATCGACACCCCTTGCGCCTCCAAGTAGCTCCATAGAACCTCCCTAGCAACCTTGTCGTACGCTTTGTCCATATCAATAAATACCGACTGGAGATCTTTCTTCCTATCCCTGTACTGTTCCACCGTCCTCCTAATAATCTGGATAGCTTTTGTGGTAGAACGCCCCGGAATGACCCCGAACTAGTTGTTTGAAATAGACACCGTCCTTCGCACTCTCATTTCTACCAATTTTTCCCAAACTTTCATGGTATGACTCAGTAATTTAATACCCCTATAATTATTACAACTCTAGATATCACCTTTGTTCTTGTACAACGGGACCATTGTACTCCACCTCCACTCATGTGGCATCCTATTTGTCTTGAATATAACATTAAATAACCTAGTTAACCATTCCAAACCTGCTTCATCCACACACCTCTAAAGTTTAACCGGAATTTTGTCTGGTCCGGTTTCTCTGTCCCTACTCATCTTACACATTGCCTTCATTACTTCTTCGACCACAATGTGCCTATAACTAAAGTCATGGAGATTTTTGGCATTTCCCAATTTACCTAATAGAATATCCTGATCCCCTTCTTCATTTAGAAGTTTATGAAAGTAGGTCTGCCACCTCCTCTTAATCTGGTCATCCCCCATCAAGACTTTGCTGTCCTCATCTTTGATGCACCTAACTTGGTCCAGATCCCTAGATCTCATTTCTCTTGCCTTAGCTAGTCATAATAACTTCTTCTCCCCGCCTTTGTCCCCCAGTTCCTTATACAGGCGATCAAAAGCCGTTGTCTTTGCCTCCGTGATTGCCAGCTTCGCCTCCTTCCTAGCTACCTTATACCTCTCTCTGTTCATCCTCTTTTCCTCCACGCTAGTGCTCCCTACTAACTGCATGTACGCTGCCTTCTTCGCTTCTACTTTACCTTGGACAACTTCATTCCACCACCAGTCTCCTTTGTGGCCACCGGAGCAACCCGAAGATACCCCTAACACCTCTCTCGCCGCCTTCCTACAGTCCGCCATCGTCGACCACATAGAGTTTGCGTCCCCATAACTCCTCCAAGCTCCCATAGCCTATAACCTTCCTTCCAACTCCAGGGCCTAATCCTTTGTTAAGGCGCCCCATCTGATTCTTGAGCGACCTCGTACTAACCTCTTCTTTCTCCTTATTATAATACCAACGTCCATCACCAAAAGCCTATGTTGTGTTGTGAGGGTCTCACCTGGGATAACCTTGCAATCCTCGCACAACCTTCTATTCCCTCTCCTGAGGAGGAAATAGCCAATCTGGGTCTTCTCCACCGAACTTTGGAAAGTAACTAAATGCTCCTCCTGCTTCGGAAAACTTGAGTTCGCAATCACCAGCTCAAATGCCTTGGCAAAGTCCAACAGCGAAGTGCCCCCTCCGTTCCTTTCCCCGAAACCGAAGTCGTTATACACCTCAGTATATCCATCTGCAGACGACCCAATATGACCATTGAAATCTCTGCCTATGAATAACCTCTTAGCGGGTGGAATATTACGCACAATCTCATCCAACCCTTCCCAAAAACGCCTTTTAATCTCCTTATCCAACCTTGCTTGCGGCGCGTACGTGCTAACGACATTTAAAGTGTAGTCACCAACCACCAACTTAATAGTCATTAATCTATTATTCAGCCGCCTAACCTCTACCACAGACTCTCTAAGATGCCTATCTACCAAGATACCCACTCCATTCTTACCCCTTTGGACTCTAGAGTACCACAACTTATACCCATCCGCGTCCTTTGCCCTAGATCCGAACCTAGTCTCCTGAACACACGCTATATTAATTTTCCTCTTCTAGAGGATCTTAGCCAACTCTATAGACTTACTCGTTAGTGAACCTATATTCCATGACCCGATTCTCAACCTATAGGCTCCCTTTCCCCTACCTCTCCCTCCACCCGTCCCATCACCTGGACCATGCCCGACTTCTCGCCCCACCCTTTGCCCTATCCGAGGACATGTCCTTACTCTATCATCCCAGACTACAACCACTACACTCATGACAAGCTAAAGAAGACTCATTAGCACACCACGAATAACGGACCAAACTAGAAGGACACAAGTAGCTACTAGCGCCCTAGTTGTATGATTAAACTAGTGCGAACAAAAATAATATCAATTTAACTAACACCAAGAGAGAAATAATAAAACGGGAGGTACCAATTCCCAAGAACAGAACCTGTGCCTGTTTTGATGTACTCGATATTGTTGCACGCTCACGTTCAGCTTCCCACCGCCCCTTTGTTGACACTCGCCTAGGCTGCTCTCCTTTGCTTGTGCGCGTGCACCTAACTTGTCTCCAACAGCTCCGAGAAACTCCCTGAAAAACACAAAAAAATACAATGTATCAAAAGGGGTTGTCACCGCTACCACTGGCGTAGCCCCGACAGTTGCAAGGGAAAGGAGTGAAAAACAAAAAGGGGGACAAAAGAAGAGAAATGAAAGAACCCAGGAGTGTGTTGGCTGACAACTAAAGGAAGAAGAAAAGAGTCGCTGGAAGTGGTTACCAACGGCGTGGTCGGCAGTCCGCCGCAAATAAGGTAAGGGTAAAGGAAGAGAAGG